TAATACCGCAGTTCAAAATATATGAACTTCATATATTCATTGTATCTGATTTATCATCACGGGTTTATTACGAATCAACTTAACGGCCTGCTCCCAGTTGGCTTGTTAGCTCAATTGGTAGAGCGCTGCACTAGTATCGCAGAGGTCAGTGGTTCGAATTCCGTACAGGCCTGATTTTTTTCAGGTCTGATTTTCGCTATTGCATAAATAGCGCTATCTACTGCGAAGGATCGTGCATCATACGTATTTAATACCGCAGTTCAAAATATATGAACTTCATATATTCATTGTATCTGATTTATCATCACGGGTTTATTACGAATCAACTTAACGGCCTGCTCCCAGTTGGCTTGTTAGCTCAATTGGTAGAGCGCTGCACTAGTATCGCAGAGGTCAGTGGTTCGAATTCCGTACAGGCCTGATTTTTTTCAGGTCTGATTTTCGCTATTGCATAAATAGCGCTCTCTACTGCGAGGATCGTGCATCATACGTATCTATAACCGCAGTTCAAAATATATCAACTTTCATATATTCATTGTATCCAAAGCACATACATGAAGTTATTTTAAACTGAAAATACATAAAATGTTGTTCGAGCTTTATCTAGTCTAACAGCTTTCAAACCGGCATAATCTCTTACTTTCTTTTTTCAAATGAAATATATTCAGCACTAAAACTGATCTGAAAACTTTGCTAGCCTCAGGTGGATGAAACAAAACCACAACACACACAGAAATTCGATCAATTGAGAGATAAAAAATGATCTAAGAAATATTTTCGTAAAAAAAATTTCTTAGGGAAATAATACTTCTCAAAGTCTTTTTTGAAACTTTTTAGCCCATAATCAGAGATTAGCTAAATGCATATGATTCAAAATTTCAGCGAACAAATACATCTCCTGGATACACTTGATGGGACTAGAACAAGTTGTTCTTTGACAGGTGCATGATCAGAGCTGAGAGAAACAGAAGCATCATTGGACGGCTGACACACACTCTTCCCTGTCCTGACAAAATGAAAAAGATAGATTTTAGGACAATTTACCAATCATTCATTTTCATGGTAAGTTGAATAGAAAGAGGACAAAGGTTAGTTGTCTTAAAAAACAAAAAAAAAATAAAACAAACAAAAACACTAAAACATTGTCGTGCTGCTATCTTGGGCAGTTGTGAATCACTCAGATGATTATTCACCAAGAGTTAAATTAATTTTACTTTCCAAAGGAGAAAGATGTCACGAAAATAAAAATAACAGCAAAACTCAATTTTATAACACACCTGCTTTAAAGGAAGCTTTGAATCCCTTGTACACAGTGGTAGAGTTTCTGTCACTCATGAACTGAACCCAAACCATGTTCCCTTGGCTCAATATAGAGTTCGGCTTTGTACTTCCACACAGGCGACTAGTCAGGATTTTGCCAAAACGGCCAATTATTGTTTTAGGATCACCAACCATGAAAGATGCGTCACGGAGTTCGACGTAATCATTTTTGCAATCCTCACTGTCCTCCAGTTCAAGTATGTCGAAGTCTATCTGAACCTTCCGTCCTTTAGGGACGATTAAAACCCACTGTTCTGCGTAACTTGAAGGGTAGTTCTCAATGTCAACTTTTGGTGTGCCAAACTCAATGGTTTCATCTTCGGTTGCATTCAGATAGTTTATGTCACCCACTGCAAAATACAAAATCATCAACTATCAAGAGAATAAGTTTGCTATGAATTGCAAAAACAAGCCCGCACATTGCACTGATGTAGCAAGATTGAAAGTCGGGTTCGTGCCCTATTACAGTTAAATCTATTGTGTGAACACCCAGTGGTTGGAGGGTGGTGGAGAGTCCGAAGTAGCAGGCTCAGGAGGGGTTGCAGGAACCTGCCAGCTCCAGCCGATGCGAATGGAGGGGTCTTAACGTTAAGACAAGCACCGGGAAGCAAGGTGGGTCAGTAGCAGTTGTGTGTACGTGTCTATAGCTCAGGGTAGGAAGAGTAGGTATTGGACTCCTTTGCTTCAATTGTAGTTTGCCCGTGGGTTGAGATGGGGTCCCTAGCTTATTTTAGCAACGCACTGTTATTGCTTGACTGGCTGCCAGGCTTATGCCCCGCCACTGCTTAGTCAGACTCGACAGCTGGAGGTAGGTTGAGTGTCAAATGCATTGGACTTGCTAGGTTTTTACTTGAAGGCGGGCATCATCCGCCATCAGCTATTGAGACCCTCTATGTATATTTATTACCCACCAGTCTGGGACAAGGCTATGAAGGTTAAGCTAAACCCTGTGTAATGCGCTGTATCATCCGACACAAAACGAAGATAGAGCGTCGATCCAGGAACATTGCCGTAAAGTCCAGCATTCCAGTCGACGTTGTAGATATATCCTTCTAAATAGTTGTAGCTATATCGTCCACATGTTTTAGTCTGCTGGTGTAAATCGCTGTAGGAAGTTCCAATTTGAAGATAGTCGCACTTACAACTGGAGCACATTTCTATGTCAAACCTGGGGAAAATATCACAAAGCGATATAATTGCCCTTCCGTTCTTACCACCCTTAAAAACAAAATGAAGATTGATCTACCGGAGAAGATGAATATATATTTTTAAATTACTTTAAAATTATTTACAATGTTTTTTATCCCTTGTCTGACCGCGTTGGGCCTGAAAAGTCCCGTTACAGTATTGTTTGGTTAAGAATGGTAATTCAACTGAGTTAAGTGCAATTTTTATGGGTAATCTCATTTTTTCGAGTGCAAATTGTAGGCTTTAGAGAATTAACGAGTTGTGATCTATCGCAAAGTTCACGAGAAAAATCGTGTGATTACTTGATTTAGTCCGTAGAAATACTTTATTGATACAGTTCTGAGCTGGTTTTTAAAACATTGCCATCATTGTCCTTCCTTTCCAGCAATAGGATTGGTTGCTTTAAAGAATACTTGAAATCTCATCGGCTGGGAAAATATGCGATTATGAGCAAACAGAGTCTAATTCGTGGAAAAATGGATCTCCAGTAATTTCAAAATGAGTGCAAGAGAGATTTTTTTGATAATGAACATGAGAATATTCTAGTCCTCTCTTTTGGTATTTTATTGTAATCAGAAAGAAAGAAACCCCATGCTAGTCATGAATTATTAAAAAAAACAATGACGTTGCTGGGAGCTTATTTCAATCTTTCTTTCGTTGACTCTCGCATGCGAGCTTCAAGGTTGAAGATGTATCATTTGAAAAACTTCCTCTATGTAACTAGTACCATATTTCGGAAAGATTCCAAGGTAATTTCTGAGTTGTTATGGAATGACTTTATGATTTTGTTTGTCTCTGCATTTAGATGTCCTTTAGGATAATGATTATCGGCAGCATGAAATTAATTGGAGATGAGGTGTTAGCCTCAGAGTTCGCATATTACTGAAGAGCGTAGTACCTGGAAAACCTACCTGGAAAAACGACTCAAAATCCCGGCATAAGTGTCGGGAATCATAATGCTCCAACATTTGGTCTCATTCTTACCATAAGTGCCTGACTCGGGATATACAAGCTTACCACTGGAAGCTGTGATATTTGTTATGCCATCGGGACAAACTATGGTGAAGAAAAAAGAGTAGAGAGACTTCATTTTTCACCCAAATATACTCAAACATACCGTTGGGAAGGGGTCACACGGAGTTCTTCGTGGAGAAGCAGGTTGCCAAATATCACTGATACATTCGAGTCTAAATAACTCGAACCTTAACTGACTTGCAACTAGTGTGAACTAGAGCTGCCGGGTAATTCTCTCAGTGGAGTCTCATATACCTAAGGAAATCTGGCAGCTTATCAGGTGGCTAAAATTGGGTTTTGAAGTCACGACAACAAGTTCGTCCCGCCTGTCCATACCTCCATATAAGAAACTACATTCAGCCTGCACAACAAGCTGCATTTCGTACACAAGTCAGGGAGTTACATTGGACGAGTTAAATAGGAAACCAAAAAAGGGAATGCACAAGCACGAGAACAAGAGAAATCCCGCGCAAGCCCAGTGCTCGTGTATCACGTAAGTCGCAAACTGGTGAAGAGCAAAGTAAGAGAGCACTTGTCTCTTTTGTCAGTTTCGATTTCCTGATTCACTGTAAGTCCGGAATAAAATCATTGATTGTTTGATTTACTGTTATTAAAACTTTGGAAGGCGGCATTTTAGCTAACAGCTTGTTAAAATCAGGGTTAGTACCCTTTAAGACTCATTTTCTGGAAATCAATGTGCTCCGTTTTCTTAAAGATATTTCACTGTTCTTTGTAAACTTTGGCAGCATCATTTTAGGAAGCGTCAAACCTTAATCTGCAAACGAAAAAACCAACTTAATTTGACAGTTTTCCATCGGTCTTAACAACTCTGTTTGGGTAGCATTTCCAATGCTAAAATTTCCTATGACTGTCAAGCAAAGTAGGTGCGGCTTCAATTACTTTTTTGTACATTTGATTCTATTTTCAAATGGAATAGCTTAAGTCTTGAAATTTGTCAATTGATGAATACCTTACTTAATATTGCGTGACGTCGCATTGTACATGCTTGAACTTTAGACTCGAGTCTGCTCTAACTTCGGACTCGCGTTTAGCTAGTATGTGAAACGTTTAATTTGTGAAGATCGTCGATCGGGGAGTAGGTGGTCAGTTTGTAGTCGATATCTTTCTTCTATTAATTACAATCATAAACGCGTTGAGTTGAAGAACCAGTGATATTGAAACCAACAACAATTATATCAGGAACTGAATATATTTACAATGAACTTGTATATCGAACCGAAACAGTTAGGGTTTGAAACTTACTTGAGTCGCTTTGTCCTTTTTCAAAGAATAGTAATAAAGCTGAAACAAGAAAAAATTTATTAGTCCTAGAGCACGGAAGAAGCGCGACGTCTAGTTTTTCGCCAGCCAAGTTTGGAACAGCTCGTTAATATCTTCCTCATTTCTTGCATACTATATACTTATTGACCGGGAGGGAGGGGTCGGACGGGAAAACATTTGGCTCGCAATCATACCGTCCAGCCCGACCAAACTCAGACAATAAGCATTTTATCATATGACTGCGAAGTCGGTGCAGAAAATTTCAACCTAAATAGGGCGCGATAGAAAGGCCTAAGCAGCCACACGAGCACAAAAAAAATTCTGGAATTGTAACTTTTCCTCTATGTTTTCGAGTCAGAACAAGACACTCCCAATGTCCTTGAGTACGCGATTCTTTTTCTCGTATCTGTTTTCCATTAGTTTTTGCAACAAAGCGACGTGAGGGCAGTAGGACCTGACGGCTTTTTCCGGACCGGCTCAAGTCAACCCGTCCGGCCTCACACTCCTCAGCGTTCTCAAGTGCTATGGTTTTCTATGGGATTGAGTGAGTGGAGCTGGACGGGTCATATGATAATATAGTATACGGACTGTGCGTATTTGGAGCTTCTGTAACTCTTTACATAGGCCAAACCGCAGTTGCCCCAGAAAACAGGTTTAAAATACATAAAGGACATAAAAATCAAAAAAACTTGACTTGAAAGCAAGCAAAATGATATAGGTGCGTCGCACTTGAAATAAGAAAGTTTTAATCCATGAGTGATGAACAACATACCAATGACAGAAGCAGCTGTAAGCAGTTGGTTGAATTTAAATTCTCCCATTCTTCAACAAGGTAAAGTTATTTTTGTCTATAACAGAAGAAGATCAGGATTCACTGAGTTCCGTATTCTACAAATGCCCCCCACGATTGGTAAAATAACAGCGACTTTCTTGTCTTAAAATGTTCAACAAGTTGACCACAATTGTCCACTGTCTATAACCTTATTGATCATAGAAATGACGTCACGATGTTCTAAACAAAGTGAAACCACAAATCTTGGGCAGGATGTACAGGAGGGGGGGCGCTGGGAGAGTTGGGTAACGCCCTATCAAATCTATAAGCGAGCTGTTAGATCCCTGCGTGGTTTCACAGCAAAATTTTGAAGATGTTAACATCAATAGTATGATCAATTAAGTTATAGAAAGTTTTCGTTTTACAATAACTTTTAGATTTTTATGCCAGCTGAAGTTTTTCGAAAAATTAAGCGCGCCTGACATGATCGATCGTTGCTTTGTTGTTTGTTTTATGTCAGTGAGTTAAAACAGAGCTGGGCGAATCAGATCATTGAAATGTTTTGGTTTCGTAACTGATCCCCGTATCATTAAGGACCCTCAGCAGTCAGGATGGCAACGCTGAGGAAAAGGTAGGCCAAAAAAGTTAATATCTATTTTTTGTTAGAATTTAAGTCGCGAATTGCTGCATGAGTTTACCGTCCCTTACGGCGACACACCTTATCATTAGCATAACGGACAGAAGCAGCGTTCAGTTTCAAATGGAATTTTAAACAATCTGCAGATGCAGTTCCCGTTCTCGGGCAATACAAACTTTGGTGATTTCACGTTTTTTTTTTTTCAAAGGACGGTAAAGAAAGTTTAAAACGCACGCATTGAGCTATAGCTCTGCTCATTAGATCTTTTGTTTAGCCACGCCCTCGTTGCCGTCGCCGTCGTGGTTTGCTTAAGGTTCCTAAATACTAATCTAACGAAATAACTTACCTGCTCAGTAACGTGTAACGTAGAAGGAAATCGCAGTAAAGCGAATCGCTTTCCAATCCTGCTGCTTACAACCGCTACAGTGGATATATGTTCGTTAGGAAACACCGGGCTATGAGCTGGGTAGAAGTTTATCGACTGCTCGAGACGGTCAGATTACCTTTCACGTAAATTTCATTTATATACTTCTTATATTTGTTCCTAAGGTTAAGGGCCAAAATAAAAAATTGCCAGACTTTGACATTAGACGTAATTGTGGTTACATAATTAGTCTGTTTTGTTCTGTTCTTACGTCAGTTGGTTTTTTTACGAATCACTTCCACATGTGCTCCATTATATTTTGATTAAGAAGATTCTTCTCTACAAAATGAATGGCTAAGCTCAGAAAAAAAAAAATCAGAAGTGAAAAACATTCCCAATACTTCTGATGCAGTTTGCCGGACAAAACCGCAGAAATTTGGTTGACTGAAATGGTATTCATGACACGGCTTTGTTTGAACTCTGAAAATACCTAAGGAAAGAGAACACACTCAAGTAGAAAAATACCACCAATATTGAAATTTGCTCTTTGATAAACACAAGGGTTTTATTTGAATTTAGCAATAATTTATGATTTTCAAACATTCTTACAATTTATTAAACGTTCCATGCCGTGCAAATTGGAATTGGAAATTGAGTCGATTCAGTTCGAAGCTTCAACGTCTCCCCAGGCCAAACCCGGGCATTTGACCTTTTGAAGATTTGTTCGTTCAAATACCCCCTCCCCTAAGTCAAAATTGTGTTCAAAATGCCTTACAAGTGCCAGAATTGACGGTCAAGTTTTAGCAAAAGGTGAAATCAGCAACCGTAACCCTCTATCCGTTGCCTGCGATTGATTTAACTATTCAAGTTTTAAAACTTAGATCTTGTAGACCTTTTACTTCCGATCCATTCGCTGTCGAGGAACGGTGAACTATTTACCTTTAGACACCTCCATATCAAAAAATAAATCACGTGTATTTTGCTGGAGGCTTGACATTTCTGGTTCAAATTCCCAACCCTATCTGGGCAAGGTTTTAAATTTCCTACCCGGGGGGCAAAGAATATTTTGATTGAATTAACAGGACTGAATTGAATTATTTTAGCCTCGTATGAAAAAATGTTTCAAATTTTCTTAGTTATGTTGTAAATTTGATATATCAGAATAAGATCTCCTCCAACTCCCTAACCCCTCCACCCCCCCGTTCGTAATGTATTTTTTCGTGGTTACGTACGGCGCACATGATTTGGTAATTTAGCCAATACAGTCTAACCTGTGTTTAGCAGCACTGTGTCATGCGGTCACCCTGCTTAAGCGGTTGGTTTTTTCAAAGTCCCGAAATTTTCCCTCCTAATTATTGTGTTTTCACCTCTTTTTAGCGGTCACCTTTATGAAGCGGTCGTGGTCACCCTTAACTGAGTCCCAACGGCCTGTTTGAATTGTCTTTCACCTGCATTGCACGGTCACTCAAAGCAGAACCACTGAAATAAAACATAAAACTAAGAATAATCTTTCATGTAAAATTGGATCCATGTGCATCTCCTAAATCCGTGTTAGTGGTATTTTTGAGCCAGGTTTTGTAAATTAATTAGTCAATTATAAAAAAAAAAAGGATGGCGTTTGCTCTCGTTTCCTAAAAAACTCCTTTATATGAAACCCGTATTAAGCAGTCACCCTGTCATTCCCCATGGATGACCGCTTATACAGGTTTGACTCTAACTTCTTTGCCGCTCAACTTTCGCTGATTTTTTTTTCTGAAGTCAAAATCTTAAAAAAGGGCGCGATAAAAATGTATTTTCGCTAGTTCTCTGTTAAGCATGAAGGCTGGAACCGGCAAAAACAAATGCCCATCGCAGTCGGGAAACAGTTTGATGTGATGAACTCCCGACGACCTTTGTACGACAAACAGCTTCACAGGGAGATACTATATCAACTCAACCTTGTTTACATTCTCGTACTTGGAAAGTACAGGAGTCAATTTCTCATCATGAAAAAGAGAGGACTTTATCCTCTCCTATCATGAAACATGGATAAAGGAGAAAAAATCCCTGAGCTAGGAACGAAGGAAAAGCCAGGGCTGAGAAAGAGTAAACCTTGATAATATCTTCATTAGAAAATATCCCATCATCCTTTAAAGACTTGCTCTGGTGCTGAGTGTGACAAGGGTTCGTGGTTTGTTTGCCCAAACTTCGAAGACTTCCGAATAACAGGTTTTTCTCTTGATCTTACCCACACCTCATTGACTTCCACAAACGTATACTTATAGAAACTAGCTGGGGAAAACGTGACTGGAACTATCACTTCTCTACGGAGATATATCCTTTGCGGTTGACACCGTGCAGTTACATTTCATCGGAGGTCATGTTTGATACCCGTTTAGTTCGACAGACTAGTTTCCTGCTTTCTTCGACTCAGGAGAAGAAAAATCAAAATAGTTTCAAGTTTCAAATAAAAAATGTTTCAATTTTTCTTAGTTATTTTGTAAATTTGATATATCAGAATAAGATCTCCTCCAACTCCCTAACCCCTCCCTCCCCTCCCCCCCTTCGTAATGTATCTATCACTTCTCTGCGGAGATATATCCTTTGCGGTTGACACCGTGCAGTTACATTTCATTGGAGGTCATGTTTGATACCCGTTTAGTTCGACAGACTAGTTTCCGGTCATGTTACTGTTTACCTGCTTTCTTCGACTCAGGAGAAGAAAAATCAAAATAGATTGTAGTTTTATCGAAAGCTTATAGTTTTATTGATAGGTGTTTCTTTTCCCAGTTGAGAAAAGATTTTGTTTTTTTCAAAACTCACTACACGATGCAACTTTTGCCGAATTTATGTACAGGAAAAGAGGTTAGTTAGTAGACACATAAAGGTGCTTCTGAATATTTGCGTTTAAGTCTCACGGTTAGGGCGTGGCTGGTTCAAATCAACGGTGTCTCTAAGTAGCTTTCTGAGGTGAGCATTGAAGATTTTGGGCTTTCTCCCGGGAGTAGGTGTGGCCGAGACATTCCTTGTTTTTCGCCTGAACAGGTAGGTGCCGAAAAAAAAGGATGTGAATTTTTTCCGTGGTCTTTTACTCTTAATAAAAATAGGGCTACAGTTTCAGTACTCCAAGGGTCGTAGTGTGGTTAGGGTAATTTTTTCTCGAATCTGACGTTTGGCAGTTGATTTTTTGTAAGATGACATTTCTTCTTTGAGTTATGTTTAATATGGAGTTTGCAATCAAACTGTTTTGAATCAGTCTTGTAAGTAGTGAACAAAGACTACGTTTGGATATAATTGCTGGGACTAGTACAAGTTGTTCTTTGACACGCGCATGATCAGAGGTGCGAGAAACAGAACCATCATTGGATAGCTGACAGACAATCCTCCCTGTCCTGGTACAGTTAAAAAGCGAGGTCATAATCTGGGTTATGATATAGCGCGCGTGCTTGCCCTATCTAAGTCTAATTGAGCCGCTATGAACAAAATCTTTATTTACGCACGTTTGTACGTAAATAAGATGACGTGAGTTTTTTTTTTTACCTGGCTGCGGAGTTGCCGTCCTGTTAAGCTGGAGTACAGTTTTCCTTCTTTTTAAAATGTGGGAAAAAACTCGTGAAGGACAACCCAATTTTTCTATCGGCATTGACCCTTTAGGTCTTGATCCAACAAGCAGCAAAAAAAAGGCCGAAAAAAACTCGCAAGTTGCGCATTTCGCAAATTTGTCGGATCGTTGAGTTTTAAAACATCTTGCAGTGACACGTAAATTGCGTGAACTGAATGAAACCGGCGCGAATTGTCTAGACGGTAAGAAGAAACTTGCACGCTCCCATCTAACTTATTCCAATTGGGGAAAACAACAGTAACCAAAAAATAAACAAAGGAAAACAAAAAAAAAACAACTTTGCCTGTGGTTTAATTATTCTTTGTCAGTTGGTTTTTCTTGGCTTTTTAAATATTGCTTTCAGTTGTGCCTTAACACTTTTCAGAAGAACAGTTTTAAGAGGCAAAATATCGTGTTTCACTGTAAACCTCAACATCTTTGCTAATCATAGTTTGGGTGGGTCACATCAAATCGAACTGAATGTAAGCAAGAAAATATCACTGAGCTGATATTCTCTTTATGTAGGCCCCAGTCTGTCAGGTTCTTGTCGATGGCTCTTCTCTCATCCATCTTCAGTTCATGTAGCTCTGTCCGCTCTGTAACTCCAATGTTTACAAATTGATCGGGTGCGAGTTTGCTAATGATCCTCTGTCAATGTTTGGATATTCAGAGAAAAACCTGGATCTGAAAGATGTAGTCAAGGGTTGGTGATAAACTTTCCCCGTTAAATTAATGTAAATAGACAAAGGAAGTTTTCTTAAGTGGTTTGACATTTCCAGTTTTCTATTCTTCTTCTCAGCAGTTTCGCGATCGGTTGTTTGCATACAACTAAAGAACGTGGACACGAAAAACGACCTGGAAAAGTGCTATATAATGTAGGCAGAGGTATCTGGAACTTCAACCCGCCAAAATTTTTGGTCTCATTCACGCCATAGTTACCTGTTTCAGGGGAACACAGTGGTACCAATTAGAAGCCGTGATGTTTGTTATGCCGTTGGTACAAACTACTGTGAGGAGAAAAAGTAAAGGTGAAGTCTGTATATAAGCCAAGTGGCCCGTCCGGTCGGCGCTTAACTCTGGTTTCCGCAGCATGAATCGACTATGAGTATCTTTACTCCTTCCACTGGATGGGATGCTGGTCCATCCCAGGGTTCCACCCAGCATTAAATTTGCCGGTACTCATTTAAACACCTGGGTGAAGAGAGACACTGAGAGTAAAAGTGTCTTACCTAAGAACACAACACAATGTCTCCAGCCAGGGCTCGATCCGGAGTCGAGCGCACTTACCATGAGGCCACCACGCCTCGAGAAGAGAGAACCTTTCTAAAATGTTGACTTTCTTTCTCACCCAAATTGTCCTCCATCAAATTTTAGCATACGCTGAGTGAGCATGACTAGCCGGAGGGGCATTTTGTTCTGTGAATTACCCAATTCAGCAATAACGTTTAAAAACTTTTGCTGATTGGCTGCAAAATTCGGTATCTTGTACAATCTGGCAATAATAGTAGAACTTACGTTATATTTCACTCCGGGGGAAAAACTCATAAGAAGGATTCTCACTATCAAACTTGTCCTTAGCTGGGCAGCAAGTTGCTAACTTTCTCAAAAGGAAGATTATTTGCAAAATATCACCGATATATTCGAATTCGAATAACTCGAACCCTCGCTGACTCGAACCTGGTGTCAATTAGGTCCAGAGCGAAATTTGCTCAGCGGAGCCCTATACCCTCTGAGGTTTGTGACCAACCGCGTACCCGAAAAATTTACGAAAAGTAAATGTTTGCCTGTGGTAGATATTCAATTTGCTCATCCTTTTCGTTGCATAAATGAGAACCCACTGATGCACAAGAAAGAGCAGCAGTATGAGGCACTTCAAGAAGAAGCTCACAACTGAGACACTCCACCCTTTAGAGACCCGTTGCATAGCAACAACTTATTCCGGTTACCGAGACGATCGTTGACGCCTTGGTTATATTTGGTAACCGGGCTTGACAACCGGTTACCAGGCTCAAAATAAGAGACCCTTACAGTGAGTTCAATGTGTAAAGTAATAAATAATGCTCACGTGGAATTACTTCTTTATTTTAACACTTGTCTATGCGTTTGCAAAGTTTGAAGCATGCAAGTTCCTTCTCTTAAAAAACAAAATAAGACGAAAATTAGAGGATTCTCATCTAACTTCAGCTTATTAACTCAAAACATTAATCCTTGTTGAAAAACTACTTTTCATTCCTGACTACTTTAAGATGTACGTCAAAAACTTCAGTTTGTCTGTTTTGAACTTCTGAAAAATAAACTGCTAGGTAATCAACACACTGGTCAAGCTACGCAGACTAAATTCAAAGAAGTCCATATGAAATCCCACACAGCAGTCATGCCATACAAACAGTACTTAAAAGCTGTATTTTGCAACAAGGAGACCTGAAGAGGAAATATGGAAAGGAGTTGTCTACTGACAACATTTGAGTTTATGGGATTGGAAATCGAAAACAAATTATGAAAATCGGTCTGAGATTAACATAAAAAAGCTTAGAAGTTGGATATGGGCGAAGTTTGAAGGAGGAACTGAGAATCATACCTCTCCCCTTTCCCCTCTCTTTTTCTTCAGGACTCTCTTTTTACCACACCTATGCCGCAGAATTGTGTTAGTTTTTTAAACTAAGCACACTCTGCTATCTCCTTCTGAACGAAAGTTCCCGCTGCAGGCGAAAAAAAGGCTCTCCTTTTACTGAACTCTTTTCTAAAAGTTTTGTTACAGATAGCAGAAGTGTGTTGGTTTTTATAGAACTAGACACACTCTACTATCTCTTCCTAAACGAAAGCTCCCGCTGCAGGCGAAAAACAAAAGGCTCATATGTTACTTAACTCCTCTCCAGAAGCTTTGTTACCGTCTAAGACACATTTATTTGGCGGCCACTGTTAGTACTGCGCCTAATTTTGTTCAAATCGTTACTTTCTAGAGAGCAGAATTGTGTTAGTTTTTAAAACTAGACACACTCTACTATCTCTTCCTGAACGAAAGTTCCCGCTGCAGGCGAAAACAAAAGGCTCATATGTTTCTAAACTCCTCTCCAGAACCTTTGTTACCGTCTAAGACACATCTATTTGGCGGCTACTGTAATCATCGCACCTAATTTTGTTTTAATCGTTACTTTCTGGAGAGCAGAAGTGTGTTAGTTTTTAAAACTAAACACACTCTGCTATCTCTTCCCAAACGAAAGTTCCCAATGCAGGCGAAAAAATAGGCTCATATGTTTCTAAACTCCTCTCCAGAAGTTTTGTTACAGTCTAAGACACATCTATGTGGCGGATTCCGTTAATACCGCACCTACTTCTGTTTCAATCTAGAATTGCCTCTACCAGCTCTTGGGTCTACACAGGGCGACTATCTGCTCGCTTTTCGACGTCTTCTTTCTCGCTTTAGATCACCATCACACCCACAGCTAGCAGCAAACATATAATGAAACTGCTTCTTGCAGTCAGGTCCGCGGCGCTTGGATCAGTTGATTTGTCTGTTGTAACAAGATGTGTTAGATTTAGTAAATCATTTCTTCTCACAAACTTTGTAACCTATAATTTACGCAACTGAAGCGTAAATGTGCAAAGCGTAAGTCAGTTTACTGCTCAACGATCGTTTTACAGTCAAACACTGATGCCGTAACAGAAGATGCAAACAAAACTCAAACAAATTTCATATTTTCTTGATTAGAATAAATATCAACACACTTCAATCTACTTTCAATTTTAATACAACAGAAGATGTTAGGCACGGCTAAAAGGGTTTTCCACAGGACTCTAAAAGGCATGAAACATACCATAAACAGTATAAAGCGTTTGCATTCCACCGACCATGTGATCATTCACATGACAATGAAGCAACCAAACCCCTACACTGTCTGGAATCATCTCCACGGTTGCAAAGACTCCTGGGAAGAGATCGTACACATCCTCGCGGTGATAACCGACATGTTTCTGTTGAAAAATATTTGAATCAATTTAGAGAAACGTTTGTGAGAAGAGGAGTTTCCTCAGCAAGCGTCCTCCTCCAAATATTTACAAGCAAATTGATGAACAAGGAAAACAGACAAAGGCTAAATCTGGTTACGAGACTAAAACGTCTCTCAACTATCAGGAGCGTGCAGGGCATCGAAAACTTTTATATAAGCGGCTACTGATGGTTCAATGGGATGGTGCTCCCGGAAAAGCTGCCGTAAAGCCCAGTTCCCCTTTGGCGGTTTGTTATTCCCATTATTGTAGGCATCAAAACGAGTGCTCGCAAGCTAAACAGATCAGATATTCGACTGCGCTAGGTAGAGTAAAAATAACGCGCGAATCAAGTACAAATTTCCTGCAAAATACATAGTTGGTTATTGTGTAGTGTAAAAAAAATCTGTTAAACCGGTCAGCTGTGCGCGCCACGCTTCTCTATCTGCCTTGCTTTTCCTACTTTTAAGAAATGCGCATGAAATGAACCAGTTGAATAATAAATAGGTTATTAGAGGTTTTGGCGTGTTGTAACACTTAGTATTCTTACGGCACAAATAATCAGCGGTACTACACAGAAGTTTAAAGGTCTCTAAGATATATTTATAGACGGCGGTAGACCGCCAGCATCCGGCGTTAATTGAAACTCCTGGCATGAAACAAAGACATAGGACTAAATATGATAAGGATGTGCTCTACTTAAAATTTTTTCTCTAACGAGAGTCGTTGAATCAAATAGCCCAGAAATGGTCCTTATCAAGAAAACTGTTGGTCAAAACTTTGTAGGAACATAGTTAGTAAAGCGTACTGGTTATCAAACCCGACAGATTTCCACTGCTGTGTTCACTCTTGGTGCCCCAGCACGATTCTTGATGGACACTTATGTGAACACACCTTTTTTTCAAGTACCCACGCCAGAATTCGGGCACCGTGTACCGGGCACTGAGATATCGGGTATCCAGTGTCTGAACACAGCACCATTTTGTGCCGATGCCCTGGCACTAATGCTCGGGCACCAAGTGGGAAAGCAGCCCATGTTACGTCTTTAGAAGGCGTTTGGGAACTGACCGCGCAAAGTATTCAACAAAATTCCAATCATGACGAAATGGGCGCCTACCACAAACATTCCATTCATAAATTCATTTGCAATGCATGAATAAACACATAAACAAAAGGTCTGGAGGCTACCAACGTAAACCGCAACACCGCTTTGACTTTGGTTTTCTCCAGTTGCCGTAACCATTCACCCCTCCTAGCCATGTTAGACTTACATTTACATAGGTGTACAGATAGCCTCTATCACCTTTAGCCCAGGAAACAACAGTAAGTCTGGCATAATTCATTGTTACTTACACGAAGAAAAGTTTGGCCGTGGAAATGGACTGTATGCAGATCAACCTCGTTACCCATACCAAGTAGGTACCAGTCCACTTTTTCATTCTGATACATCTTGAAACCATCCCCGTTAGCAAACACGAAACCATTCACGCCGTGCATCTTGTTACTTTCCTGAAAGTCTGCGTCACCTTTGAGCTGATCTTTATTTCCGGGACTCGTGCAATATTTGTCAATGTTCTCGTCTAAATACCAGCTCTCGTTTTCATCCAGGACCGTGAACAACAGCGCAAACTCGTGATCTACATCACTTCTAGAATTTGTTGCTGTCAGCGTGTTCTGCAGAATTTTTTTTTCATAAAAATAATAGTCGTTTGATCAATTTAAAAACTTGTAATAGTGGAGTTTTCCTCCCCGTGTTACCTAAACACCAGCAAATATATGA